GTGGTCCAATCAGGATACTGTCCAGTTGCTAGGTGACTCGGGTCCTCTCCTTCCGAGCACCTGCAGGAATGCCCTTGGTTCTCAAGAGAAAGTATTTTGCTTTGACCACAAACCCCAACTATCTCTATTCCCCCTTTCCTGTCCCTATTCTCCAGTGTATCAGTGCTGAAGTCTCAAAATGACACCAGCCAGGGCAGCTTCAGGGCTGACAGCAGTTTTAAGCAACAACCCTGGAGTTCCTTAAACCGATAAGCCTTTAAAGAATGAATGAGAATGCTGAAAAGAGGTGGCCGGCCAGGATGACCCAGCAGGCGGTGAGGTTATAAAACACCAGCAGAGTTTTCAGCCCTTCTGCTGCTATGAGACATCCTCTTGCCGAAGGCTCTCCCATACATAACACCATCATTAAATAAAACGTGGGATGTACCTATTGTAAGCCATTTGTAGAGCTGCCTCTAAACCCAATTATAACCACTCTCACCTGAAAGGCCAAACAATAACCCACAATGTAATCCCAGCCATGAATTCTGCCTATAATAAAATATGCTGTTGCTGCATCTGGCTCCCAGGGAGAGAAAATATTCTGGCCTCAGCACAATAACATAACATTAAAATAGTCATTTGCTAGGGGGGGGGGGCGGCGTAATCTTTGTCCCTGTTCTTTGGCACCCGGAGTTTCAACGGACACCCAACTATCTCGTGATGCGGTTGCTAACCACATGTGGAGCTGGTGCTTTGAATATTGTAAACTTACTAAGAAAAATAAATAGTTCTACTTAATGGAGCAAGTGGAGACATTCCAAATCATAGTATTTTTTTTTTTTTTGCAAAACCGATCAGTCCAGACATTCCGTTGCTTATTCTACCCCAAATGTGTCACTCCGTTTGCTATATAGGTAATCCTTTTTTAGCAACCATAATTGAAACCCACAGCTTGGTTGTTAAGCAAAGCAGTTGCTAAGTGAAACGGCAACTGTGCTTTTGCTCTCCTTCGCTTTACAGACCTGCAAAGGTCATAAAAGCGAGGATTGGGCATAAAGTTACGTAGGCGTGGCATTGCGGTGTTTCACCTTTGACACGTGTGTCCCAAGTTCAGTTAAAGATGATCAAAGGCCTGGAGACTAACACACGTGAAGAACGGCTGCAGGATTTGGGTCTGGCTCGTCTAAAGAAAAGAAAAATTAGGGGTGACATGATAGCAGGATTCCAGTATTTGAGGGGCTGCCACAAAGAAGAGGGGGGTCAAATTATTCTCCAAAGCACCTGAAGGCAGGACAAGAAGCAATGGATGGAAACTGATCAAAGAGAGAAGCAACCTGGCATTAAGGATAAACTTCCAACAATGAAGACACTTAACCTTGCCTTCAGAAATCGTCGGTGCTCCATTACTGGATGTTTTTAAGAAGGGTCACTTGCCTGAGATGATATAGGTTCTCCTACTTGAGCAGGGGGCTGGACTAGAAGACCTCCAAGGTCCCTTCCAGCTCTATTCTAAATTCTAAATGCTGGATAAAGCTTCAAGGGCATTACGGCATTGAATTTGGAACAGATGCTTCTCCACACAAGGGAAAGAAAGTGTGCTTTCTCTGGGGTTGTAGAGGGTTGTTTATAGTGCCTTCTGTCAGGTGTGAGATGCTTTCCTCTCCCCAGCGTGGATGTGAAGCATTCACATTCACCAGCCTGCTTGCCTTTTTAGCCCTTCTTAATGACATAGTATATGTGATGACCGAGAGTGTACACAAACGTAACAAAATCCAAAACGTAAATAAATGTCCTTTAATACCTCTAACTTGGCCCCACTGTTCAATAATTCCCAGTTGGAGATAAACTGATTAAAAAATAGTCTTCAAAAGGAAGCAGTACAGTCCGAACTTAATGAGCGGATAGAGGGGAAATAAAAAAACCAAAACAAACTACAATGAAGGAAATTTCCACAAGTAATTACCAACTGCACGGAGATAACAAGGCAGTCTGTTGGAAGGATGCCAACCAAGATAACTTCAGCCCAAAATAAAACACGCTTTGCTTCTGGCAATGCTGTGTTTTAACCATCTCTCTTATATATTAGTCTCCCCAGCTGCAACCAATGACGGGGATCATGGCCGCTTCCTCTCTCACAAGCCAAGTTGTTGCCTTCTCCATTCCTCCCTGAGTGTCCTAGGATGGAGCGGGGATGGGCCTGATTCTTCCTCTGACTGCCCAGCCGGCCTCTACCCTTCCCCAGCCTCCTCCACAACCTCTGAAACCACACCTCCACTCCCTGTCGGCTGTTCCTCCCCTCCCTCAGAGTCCGACTCTAACAAGGGCATGACAGTATATTTTCAAGCTGTCTTGCTCTCCTCAGACCCACATGGCTACCTTGAGTTGGTCTTGAGGATCCTGCAGAGAGTCAAGGAATTGACTAATGGCCTCACATCAAACTCACATTGCAGCTTCCATGTGCTTCCTCTGACATAACACCGACTGACACTAGCATACTGCTGCAGGTATGGTACGTTCAGCCAATGGTAGCTGTCATGCACACTCTAGGATTATGAAAGACGAAAGAAGCACTAACTGTCTTGAAAAGATACTGCATTCCTTGTTTCTGCTGTCTCGGGAGGGAGCAGATATATTCTGATTTTTTTTTTAGAAAACACAGCAAATGCAGTAGTTCAATGCAGCGTTGATGCTTCAGCATCTTATGAAACAGTTTTATAGCTTATCCGTCCTGATCATCATCGACTTTTTCCTCTCTAAAAACTGCACCAATTTGGCTTCAAAACGCTGCTGTTTTGAGGGACCAAGTGACATAATGAAACAGTGTTTGCAAAATTTCTCATCATGTCCTCTTGTGTCTTGCTATTTCTCATGAAAACCTATAATGTCCTTCCCTGATCCTTGGTTGTATAAACAGAGGCATAGAATCAAAACCGTCTAAAGTATTAGTGCCACTCTATAAAACCTTACAAAGACCATGCCTGGAATACTGCATCCAGTTTTGGTTAATGCATTGCAAAAAAGATGTTGAGACTTTGGAAAAAGTGCAGAGAAGAGCAACTAAGATGATTAAAGGCCTGGAGATTAAAATGCATAGAGAATGGTTGCAGGAACTCTGTATGGCTAATCTAGTGGAGAGAAGGATCAGGGGTGACATGATAGCAGTGTTCCAATATTTGAGGGGCTGCCACAAAGAAGAGAGGGTCAACTTATTCTCCAAAGCATCTGAGGGCAAAACAAGAAACATTGTTTGGAAACTAATCGAGGAGAGAACCAATCTGGAAATAAGGAGAAATTTCCTAACGGTGGAACAGCTTGCCTTCAGAAGTTGTGAGTGCTTCATCACTGGAGGTTTTTAAGAAGAGACTGGAAAGTCACTTGAATGGTAGGGTCTCCTGCTTGAGCAGGGGGTTGGACTAGAAGACCTCCAAGGTCCCTTCCAGCTCTATTCTGATTGATTACCTATAAGGTACAAATACCTGTACAATGTGATTATACTTGTGTATATAGGATGGGTTCAATTCGTTATAGCCTATATTCACACAAAGTAATATTGTAAACCATTACAGTACCAAGCAGACATTATTATTTAGTGTGATGTTCGAATCTGGTCAATATTGATTTAGATTTCAAATCTTAATTAGTAAAATAACTTGCCAGCAGAAGGAATGAGCCCAGTTGCTGTCTTCTATTGATCTTAATGGCATCTATTAAAAAAGATGTCAGAGTGTTTGTAGCTTCTTCTTCTTCTTCTTCTTTTTCTTCAGCGTTTGTCTCGCGCTCTGGCGAGGTCCGCTAATGTCCTTGAGTATTGCTTCCACGCCTCTCTGTCTGCCACGTATGTCGGGTCTGCCTTCGCGATCTCTAGATCGGCCTTGATCGTGTCCATCCAGCGTTGCTTAGGTCTACCACGCGGTCTCGCTCCTCCGACAGTCACCTTCATCGCAGATTTGATGATGGATTCTTCCTTAGCGCGACTCACATGGCCGAACCATCGTAGCCGGGACTGCCTCATGACCGTGGGGAGAGAGTGTTTCAGAGTGTTTGTAGCGTGACTACTATTGTGAGACAACCCAGGAACACAACATAGGACTTTGTCTTTCAGCAGTGGTTTATATACAAGACTGCTATATACGTACATATACGTGTTAGGCACATACCAGGCAAGCAATCAGTCTTCATTACTCTGCATGGAGAACTACAATGGAGATAGAACACGAGGAGAGAGAGAGAGATGCCCTCTCATGGCCACCTTTATATAGACAGCTTCTTAAAGTGGCAATAACCCTGCTGACTCAACCTCAGTCTTAAGATGGCAATACCCTTCTCACTCATTCTCATTGCATCAGCGCTTACAGCAGCCTTACAACAGCTGGTCTGCTGTTAAATCTCCAATACTTAAACAAAAATACTTAAACAAAAGTTCTGTATTAATTCAATGAGCTTGATTCGTATTTGTGTCTATGCATGTGACAGAGATTTTTCCACAAATAAAGGTGAATATTCGTGTCCCAGTGGTGGGGTTCAAATTGTTTTACTACCGGTTCTGTGGGTGTGGCTTGGTGGGTGTGGCAGGGGAAGGAGATTGTAAAATCTCCAGTCAGAGGTGGTATTTGCCGGTTCTCCAAACTACTCAAAATTTCCACTACCAATTCTCCAGAACTGGTCAGAACTGCTGAATACCACCTCTGACGTGTTCCAGAATAATGTTGCAGGATCCAATCTGGGTCAGTCAACGGGACTAGAAATTTAGCCTTCTGAGTCTTTGGACTCATGCCAGAGCCCATCCTGAGGGAACTTCTCTCGAACGCTTTGTTAGAGTGAAATTCCCTTAGGATGAGCTCCATCACGAGTCCGAAAGCTTGGAAGGGTAAACTTCTGGTTCCAGTGAGTGACCCAGATTGGATCCTGCGGAGATTCTTCCTTATATGTACTTGGTAACAGGGAAGCATCGTAGCTTTGTGTTGAATGCTAAATGTACTGTACTGTGACCATTTTCTGTCATTATTGCTCTGTTGCAGATCATACCGCATTGACTCAAGGTACAACAGACATATGAATCTCTTCAGACAAGCTTAGTTGCACCTCAGAACTACCTCAGAATGGAGTCCCATGGCCAAGATGACATGGATTTGAAAGCGGAAACTGCTCAAGTGTGGTCTGAATCAGTTGAGCAGGACCAGAACACTACTCAGGTGACCAAAAGTGATTATAGAATTCTTTCCTTCTGTGGGAAAAAACTATCCATCTGGTTCAGTTGCAAGATGGGAGGAAGACACTGGAAACATGGAGGTTGATTGGAAAGAGGGTTTAGTGATGAAGCAGAACTACATGGGTTCTGGGCAGCTGACCACATGGGGTTGAGAGTGGGGGTGGGTTATACCGTTTCTTGGGCTTTGCACTTGAGCTTCCTGTTCCTGTGCAAGAACATATATTCTATTGGCTATTGTCGGACTCCCATGGGGCCATGTAGGGGTTATGTAAGGGTCATTGCTGGCTCTATAGGCAACATACAAATCCTAGGTGTTTATCTGAGTTAAGTTTGGTTGAAGTTTGGACTGCTCTAGGGTCTCATGCAATGTCTGAAATGCCCTTAGGAGACTGTGCAATGTAGTGAGCTCTGTGTCTTCTGCTAAATGGTAGTGGGTTAATCCTATTATGTCCTGAAGAATCATGTCCTGTTCTTCTTAATCCCATCACCCTGGAGCTGAAGGTCTTTTGTTTTGTAGATAGGCTGGCCCAGTTTTTCTAAATGGGCACAAAATACCTGATTCTTTTTGGGGGGGAGGGCTATTAAGAGTGAGCCTACTTCCTGCCTCTAAAAAAACATGTTTCTCCAGTTCCCATAGAGAGATATAATATTCTGCCTTTTTAATATTCCTCAAAATATTTCATTTTTCTAGAGGTGTGTGTAGCTTCCCACACTTCTTAACCTGCATAAGTCTATGAATTGGGTTTTTCTGAACTAGTTTAACATGTATTTTAAATTGATTTTTTTTGGGGGGGGGGGAAGGGAGGTGGGAGATGGATTTTCATTTCACAGATTTTTTTTCGTAGCTCAACAATTGATTCAAAGCTTCACTTGATGCTGCGAAATTTCCTAATATGCAAATTTCCCCAAGAAAGGGCTTTGATAACTGTAATTGAATCATGACAACTTTTCAGCTTAGCTAGAAAAGATCAGAAACAGTTGATGACTGCCTCATGTGGCAGTTGCATCCTGACATTTTCTTTGTGAAGAATTTTTGGAGAAAAACCTCGTGCAGCTGTTGGATTTTTCTTTGCAGGAGAAAAGCATATAAGAGCTTCCTGTTTCAATAAATTAGACCTACCAGAGTGCTGTTGTAGTTTATGACTTTGACTGATATGCAGTATTTATAAACATTTGAAATTTTTGTATACTTCATATAGTTCTTTGGTCCATTCTTTTTCAAACCATTACAGAACAGGGAACAAATGTATTAAAATATGCCAAGTACCCTCTGTATTTTGGAATCATATATCATTTTTGAAAGTAATAAAAAATAAGACAGGTAAATCCAGTTGCAGAGGAAATCAATTGCTTCCATCAAATATTCTGATTAACTGGGTTTTGGACTGGACTCTATATTTTCGCCCTGCTCTGGTTTCTTCAAAGGGAATTCTGTAGGTTGGACTGTCCCATTCAGAGGCATTGGGTTATGTTTGCCCTATTTTTCTGTCTACCTTGGATAGAATGTTGTAACAACTATGTCCTGTACACTTTCACATTTATTTGACTTTTTATCCTGCCTGTATTACTTTATATTATTCCTTCCTCCTCATATCTTTTCCCATAACAACAACCACGTAAGGTGAGTTGGGCTGAGAGAGAGTGGTTGGCCCAAAGTCACCTAACTGCCTTTCATGTTTAAAATGGGACTAGAACTCACCATCTCCTGGTCATTGGTCACCCAGCTGGCTTTTGGGCCTGAGGCGGGACAAGAACTAACAGTCTACTGGTTTCTAGGCCAGCAACTACTGCACCAAACTGCCTCTTCTCTCTCTCTCTCTCTCTCTCTCCCTCTCTCCTTCCTCCTTCCCTCTTTCTCCTCTCTCCCTCTCTTTCTTCCCCCTCCTTCTCCCTCTCTCTCCCCCCTCTCCCTCCTCCTCCTCCCCCCCTCTTCCCCCTTCCCAACCCCTTCCAGGTCCACTCTCTCCCTCTTTCACCCCCTCCCTCTTCTCTCTCCCTCTGTCTCTCCCCCTCCCTCACTCCTTCTCTGTTCCCCTCTCTCCCCCACGCTCTCTCCCTCTCTCTCCTCTCCCTCTTTCTCTCTGTCTCTGTCTCTCTCTCTCTCTCTCTTCTTACAAGTGTTTTCTTCCTTTCCAAACCCTTCCAGGTCCACTTTGTCCCTGACAATGGAACAGTGGCGCAGATTGTGTACAGTGATGACCAAGATCGCCCTTCCCAGCAAGTGGTCTATGCAGCTGATGGCACCTCTTACACCTCTGTAGACACTTCAGAGCATACGTTAGTTTACATCCATCCTGTGGAAGCCACTCAGGCAAGTAATCTCCCCCTCCACCTGTGTTTCTGCTTATTCGTGACTGCTGAGAGAAATAATGTCATTTTAGGATGAGCGCCAGCTACCTACACAGCTTTCTGAATCCTAAGGGCTCTTAGCTGTGCGTAATCCTTCCTCTGTTGACTCCAAATAACAGCAAAGAGGTTGTAAACAAAAACCTCCAGTGGCTATGGAATAGGCAGCTTATCCATTTTGCTTTGGTGAAACTGTAGGAAAAAATAATTTTAGCCATCACTGCACTGGGCAGACAAAGGTTCTTTAACATGCTGTTTTCTGAGTCATTAGTGGTGCATCAAATTGGGACAACTCATTAGTTCACCAAAGCATGGTTGTTTCTAATTGCGTTAGCTTACATTTGGTAAATTTTAAATCTATTGATTTAAATTGATTTAAAATTGTGGCTTTTAGATGTCCTTTTGTCTTGGATTGCTATGTATCCTCTAGGCAAGCTTCGTGTGCGATGGGGGTCATATTCTTAATGATACAGATTTATGGAGAGAACAGGAAGAAGCTAGCTATCATAAACCGAGTAGTTGGATTGGCTGGCTTAATACTGATTAAAATCCAACATCCATGTTTAATTGTTTATGGAATTGACCCAAGGACACATTGAATTACTTATTTAACTCAACATTCTTCTGCATTGAAGTGTAGTTCAGATGAGTTTGTAAGTCAGCATTTTCTGAATGTAGTAGTGTCTGCTCTGTGCTTTCCAGGATTTCTGCTGCAAATTCTTTCTAAGTGAGGCCAGGCCTTTCATTCCAAGCGGCTGTTCCACCACCAACCTATGCCCTATACATGCCTTATACATAGGATATAACAGGGGTCCCCAACCACCGGTCCGCGGACCGATACCGGTCCGTGGAACAAGTCCTACCGGGCCGCTGGTTTGCTGGGCGCCGCCATCTTTTTTTTGATGAAAAAGTGCTTCCGGTGAGCTTTTCCGGGTAGAAAGCTCACCGGAAGCACTTTTTCATCAAAAAAAGATGGCGGTGCCCAGCTGATGCCGGTACCGGGCTGCGGCGCCCAGCTGATGCTGGTACCGGGCCGCGGCATAAAAAAGGTTGGGGATCACTGGGATATAAGACACCCTTGTTAGGGTTTTCAGTTGACTCCTATGAACTGGGAAATGCATTACTGTAGGACAGGGGTCTCCAAACTTGGTAATTTTTAAGACTTGTGGATTTCAACTCCCAGAATTCCCAAAGGCTGGCTGGGGAATTCTGGGAGTTGAAGTCCACACAAGTCTTAAAATTGCCAGGTTTGGAAACCCCTGCTATAGAACATACCAATGGGTTTGTACAATAATGGAATGGTTGACAAATTGACTTTCAGAGAAAGCTATCATAATAAGTTTTTAGAGAATGGCCTTGTTTGAAAAGACTGTACAAATCTAACAACTTTTACCACTTAAAAAAAATTGAATCCATTATCCATTCATGAAACATCAGATTGTGTGGATTGGCTTATTTTTTCAAACCAATTCATTTTGGCAACATAACGTCATTTTATATTCCTGTGCTAAATCTCCATGCAGGTGTTTCTTTTCAACTTTTGAAGTGATTGCTTTCAGTCTTAAATGTCAAATATTCATAGCTAGGCTTTGAAAGATACGTTAGTGCTTTCTAGATGAAAGCTGTTGTCTTAACGTTATCTCACGCTTTTGAAAACTCAGTTGTGGTTTAGATGCTGAAACAAAATGTATTTTCATATAAATGTATAGAATATTAGCAGTTTACTATAGTGGCAAATTTGTTTGGCATTATCAAAAAATAGAAATAAATTAGGCATTAATCCGATATCAGTCCCTCAGCAGTGATATTTTTTTTTACAAACTTCCAATAACCAAAGAATATTGAAATTATTTTAATCCTTTTTAACTTATTTTTTAAGACTCTTTTTACAGACCCGTCTCAAGTCACGTATGTTCAGCAAGATGCAGAGACACAGCAGGTAAGGCTTCTTAACCATTTCCTTGATTTATACATGCATCCATATTCTTGATTTATAAATATCTCCTTTTTTTGGAGACAGATCTTGCTAATAAACACACACACTCACACACACCTCTTTTCCAGTACTTCCTCAGGCTGAATTCATCTATTTTTATTAGATGCGTCAGGGAAAACCAACAAAAACACAATTAAGTTTGAAAATGAATGAGGTCTGGCTGGAGATATCCTGGAAAAGATTCTCGCAATTTAGTTTGATAGGTGGTTCCAGCTGATAATGCTGCCAGCCCTTTTGTTCTAAGCCCACCATTTCTTATTGTGCCACAAGGAGTCTTGGAGCAGTGGTTCGAATGCAGTATTGCAGGCAAATTCTGCCCACAACCAGGAGTTCAATCCTGACCAGCTCAAGGTTGACTCACCCTCCCATCCTTCCGAGGTCAGTAAAATGAAGAGCCAGATTGTTAAACCTCCCAGAGGGTGCTGTAAAGAGCTATGGGACGGTATATAAGGGTAAATGCTATGGTTATAAAGTGGAATTTTACAGCTCACTCGGTGGTTCTGTGTGCACACACAGATTCAAGAGCGGGGAAAGGAAAAACTGACACGCAACATACATACATCATGTTTCCTTGTTACACAGAAGATTGTACCGGTTCTCCTTGTGGTCACTATTGGTAGAAGGGATAAGAAGAATTCCAGAAATCATGCTTGGTGTACTTTTCCAACTGTGTTTTTTCTCAGTCATAAATAGTATATACAGCCTTTTGTTTATTTATTGAAATGTATATCTATATTGACTGTTTCCTAATATGATTTGATTGCTTATTGTACCCTATGACTATCATTAAGTGTTGAACCTTATGATTCTTGGCTCGATGAATGTATCTTATGTACACTGAGAGCATTTGCACCAAGACAAATTCCTTGTGTGCCTAATCATACTTGGCCAATAAAGAATTCTATTCTATTCTATTCTATTCTATTCTATTCTATTCTATTCTAT